ACGGCGGCGGCGGCTGCGCGGCTCCTGCTCCGCTCCTGCTGCGGCAGCTGCTCCCCAGCGGAAAGGGGCGGGCGGCGGCGGCGGCGGCGGCGCCTCCCCCTGTCCCCCGCCTCCCGCCTCCCGCGCCCAGTCCCTCTCCCGCTCCCTCTCCCGGGCCGCTGCCTCCTCAGCGCCGCGCGCGTCTCCCATCAGACTCCCCGCCCCCAGTGCAGCGCCGCGCGGGCGCCCGAGCGGCGGAGGCCAAAACAAGGCCGGGCCCTTTGGCGCTCGTTGGAGCCTGCGCGGTGTCGAGCCCATTTAGCGGTGGCACCGAGGCAGAGCGTCGGCTCCGGGCGAGAGGGCGCCCGAGGGCTGGGCAGGCTCGCGGCAGAAATGGGGCCGGGTTGCTTCCGGGCCCGGGAGACGCGGGCCAGGCACGCGGAGTTGCTCGCTGTCCCTGCTGGGAGCGCAACTCGAAGTCCTCGACGGCCGCTTGTTATCCAGAGGAAAGCGAACACAATAAACCTTCCCTGGAGAAGGGGTAAGTGATGGAAGACGAGGAGGAGCATCAGTTGCTACCGGCCCCATTTTGCCGATGTGGAAACTGAGCCTTGAAACAAGAGCGTAATGAAAGGCACCCCCAAAAAGTTACCCAGGGCCATATTGGCTCTGAACTAAGCTGTCTTATGTGGAAGGTAGTCCACAATAATCAAGCATTCATTCATATTTTAAAATCTTACTGAGGACATACTAAGTCCCAGTAACTTGTAGGCACTGGGAGTAAAGAGGTGAACAAAAGAGGCAAGTTTCTGCTGGCTGACAGGGACCTGTGGTTACTGTGGCGAGGCGAGAAGTTAGAGTAGGCGTGGTCACTGCCTTCAGGAAATGTGCAGCCCCGCAGAGTCCTTGGGAAATAGTGTGAGATGAGAACAGTTACTAGGTGGTGGGAATAAAACTAAAGATCATGGTTAGTATGAAGAGGATCACCGGTACCAGGCACTGTTACAAGCCTTTTACATGTTTCATCCTGTCAAAGAATGTCTCAAAGACAGAATCAGTTAAAAAAAGAAAGAAAAAAGTTTTTTGGCAAAGATGCAAAGCCATGAGACTCTAGACGGCCTGACCAAATAAAAGACAGCAAGTTTTAAGGATTACCCAGAGCCTAAGGGGGAGGAATAGCACAGCACTAAGTTGACTCTAATGGGCTTTGGAAAGGGAATCTAAGCAAATGAAGATGGGAACCTGGGGACAGCCAAAGAAAAGGCCACAGGAGAAATCCTAGTGGATGTGCTGCAGTATCATGTCCTCGGTCTGTGACTGGAGGAATCACTTCCAAACCCTCCTCTGTGACACAGGAATAATAGGGATGACCTCCAAAGGTTGTCCAGATTAGATAACATCAGTAAGCACTCAACAAGTCCTGCTTGAGGTGATTAGTTCTTCCTCTGCATTCTTCCTACCGTTCTCCTTTGAATTTTATCAGATGCCCATCATGCTGCTGGGGG